AACTTTGATGCACACCCAAACCTACAAGATGTTGGTGAGAAGCTTGTTAAGAGGTGCAAAAGATTGCCATTAGCACTAAAAACACTTGGTGGCCTCTTGCGGGGAAAGCTGCGTTGTGATGAATGGGAAAATGTATTAAACAGTGACATATGGAATTCATCTGAAGATAGAAGTAGAATTCTTCCTACTCTGAGATTGAGCTACAATCATCTTCCTTCTCACTTGAAGCGATGCTTTGCTTATTGTGCTTTGTTCCCTCAAGACTATGAATTTAAAGAAAAGGAGTTGGTTTTATTATGGATGGCTGAGGGCTTATTGCAGCAACAGTCACGTGGAAAGAAGCAAATGGAAGAGGAGATTGGCCATCAATATTTCCATGAATTATTGTCCAGATCACTCTTGCAACAATCAAGTACAAATAAATCACGGTTTGTGATGCATGACCTCATAAATGATTTAGCTGTAGATGTTGCTGGAGAAATATATTGCAATCTTGAACGTAGCATGGGTGATGAAAAATTAGAGAATGCTCATCATTTGTCATTTACCATACACTCTTATGAAATCTCAAAAAGGTTCAGAGTCTTGGATAAATTGAAGCATTTGAGAACATTCTTGTCACTAAGAGTGCTCAATGACCATTTTGACTGCTATTTGTCTAAAAGAATCTTGCATGATTTCCTACCAACATTAAATCGCTTAAGAGTGCTATCTCTTTGCTACTATCAGATAAGCAAGCTACCAGATTCTTTTGAAAATTTGAAACATATGCGGTACATTAATTTGTCTGGTACAAGTATCAAATGTATACCTGAATCAGTGGGTTCTCTTCTCTTCTTACAAACACTATTATTGTGTGGTTGTAGTAAGCTTAGTAAGTTGCCTATGACAATTGGGAATCTAATTGATCTCCATCATCTTGATATAACTGATACACCATCTTTAAAAGAGTTGCCATCAGGAATAGGCAAACTTAAAAATCTTATAACACTGCCCAAAATTATGATGGGGAAGGCAAGCGGAATGATGAGATTATCTGATTTGAAGAACTTGTCACAACTTCAAGGAAGATTGTCTATTCAAGATCTACAGAATGTTTTGGATGTTCAAGATGTTAGGGAGGCCAACCTAGACAAGATCCATGGTTTGGAAAACTTAGTCTTGGAGTGGACTACTTCTTATAATAATCGAGATGAATTAGTACTTGGAGTCCTCAGCTGCTTAAAACCTCATTCAAATTTAAAAAGTCTCAAAATTTCACGCTATGGTGGCGAGAATTTCCCAAAATGGGTTTGCGATCCATTATTATTTTTCAATTTATCATCTATGAAGCTCAGCCATTGTAAGAGATGCACTTTGTTACCATCACTTGGCCTACTACCTATTCTAAAAGAATTGATTATTGAAGGCATGAATTCAATAAAAGCTATAAATTCTGAGTTTTATGGGCAACATGGCTCTTTTCCATCACTGGCTGAATTGGTGTTTAGAAACATGCCAAAGTGGAAGGAATGGACTTCTCCAGTTGGAAATGCAAGTAAATTCCCTTGTCTTCATAGGCTTGTGATTGAAAATTGTCCTAAGTTGTTAGGACAATTACCCAGCAACCTTTCTTCACTTAAAAAGTTAGATGTTAGAAGCTGCAATGGGAAGCTTTTGAAGAGTATTGGAGATGTCCCCTCTCTTACTTATTTGAGAATTGAGCAAATTTTAGAACTAACTTGCTTGCCTATGAGCATGAGTCTTCCATCATTGAAAGAGTTGTCTATTAGATACTGCAACGAGGTGCTTTTGAAGAGCATGGTTGATCTCACTTCCCTCACTAACTTGAGAATTGAGCAAATTTCAGAACTGACTTGCTTGCCTATGAGCATGAGTCTTCCATCATTGAAAGAGCTGTCTATTAGATATTGCAACGAGGTGCTTTTGAAGAGCATGGTTGATCTCACCTCCCTCACTAACTTGAGAATTGAGCAAATTTCAGAATTGACTTGCTTGCCTGAGAGTTTTACACAGTCCTGGACAGCACTTGAGACTTTGGATATTGCACATTGCAATGATCTTACTTGTTTGTGGGAGGAAGGGACAGAAATAGAACAAAGCCTCTTGCCTTTCAATCCTAAACATCTTAGCCTCAAGTATTGTAGAGCCTTGGAGTCATTACCCAATGCAATGATGATGAGGATGGATGGAAGCAGTAGCAGCAACACTAGTATGTTGATGTCAAGACTAGAAAGGTTGGAAATTTGTGATTGTGATTCTCTCAAGTCATTTCCAAGAGGCAAATTACCCCACTCGCTTAAATACTTGATAATAAAAAATTGTGAAGGTCTTGAGTCTCTACCAGATGTTGATGGTGACTATAATAATAGCGATCTACATTTGGAAATACGTAATCTTCCATGTTTTTATTCTTCTCAAGGTAGCTGTCATCAGCTACCAGCTTTTCTCAAGGAATTTGAAGTTACTAATGGTGGTGAGTGGCTGAAATCATTTCCAGAGAAGATGCTACAACATTGTGTGAGACTCCAATCCATTTCTATTTGGGATTGTAAAATATTGAAAAGTTTACCCAATCTTGATTGTGTCAGCAATCTCATTCGATTATCTATTTATCACTGTGAAGTTTTAGAGTCCTTACCAAAAGAGTTAGGGTTATGCACCCCCGATCTTAATTCGTTGGTGATAGCAAGGTGTGAGAATTTCAAATCCCTCCCAAATACAATGTACCAGTTGAAATCTCTTCAAAACCTATGGATAATAGACTGCCCTAGCATCAAGTTCATTCCAGATGGGGGTTTGCCGCCAAACTTAAAATATCTTCAATTACAGAACTGTGAGAATCTCAAGTGTGTGCCGAATACAATGTACCAACTTACATCACTTGAGCATCTATCACTCCCAGGTGAAGCTTTGACGATGGGACTCCAAAACCTTACGTCTCTTCAATGGTTGGCAATTAAGCAGAAATTCCCTCTGGATATTGTGCTGCCTTCTTCTTTAACCTCTCTTTGGATCCAGAAAGAAGAAAATTTGGAATCCATACCTGGGGAGCTATTCCAAAACCTAAGCTCCCTTCATTTTTTACATATAGATGACTGCCCGAAGCTACGATCTTTGCCAAGGGAAGCCTTCCCTCCCTCGCTTGGACAACTATCCATCAACAAGTGTCCACATCTAAAACGACAGCGCTTTGAGGCGAAAGGAGACTACTGGACTCTCACTTGGGGCATCCCCTACATTCAGATATATTAAAAAGAGGTAATGTGAACTTAGAGTGAACAGAAATATGCATCACCATTTTATGCTTTTCATATGAGAATGTAGAAAAATTATAATAGATAACACTTTGACTTCTGTTGCCTTTTCTTATAAGCGTTGCAAATCCTTTTTGTTGAGTTTCTGTTTTCTCAAGTGTTGATGAGGTAAATAAAGCCAAGCCACTCCTCAATGTTACCAGTACCTCATTCATTCCTTGGATTCATCAGAGAGCCTAGATTACAAGTTCAAGCCTTCCTTTTTAAGCAAGATCTTTCTTCAGAGAGCAGCTGCTAGATGCTTTGACATTAATGTTGCCTTTCATGTGGGAGATGATGCTTTCAGTATGATGAGTCAAAAATGAGTAATCCGACAATGTATACTGCATTCTCTCTTTATTCATCCCAAGTCACAGCCAATATTGCAGCAAAAACACTGCTGTTTTACTTAACAATGGGTTGACTTGCAAAGTAGCTTCAAGATCTAACAATTTGATGAAAAATGGTGGTGTTCACAAATTTGTCATAGTTGCAGGCTTGGAGCTATAATGTTCTACCCTCCAAAGAATGCCCTCTCTGGTAAGGCAGGGTTCACTTTCTCATCCATCAGTTGTACAGAGTGATTCTCTATCATTTTATCAAGAAAATGCTAAGCTTTAATTAATTTTTGCAGACATGGATTTTCTTTGAGTTTTTCTAGTAACTTCCCCAAATCAAGGACAATTTGAGGATATATATATATATATATATATATATATATATATATAAATTTATTGGTTG